CAAAACCTTGTATCTCCAAAATTGGTAACTTTACAAAAGAAGCAAAAAACACACTTTACTTTTAATGTAAGTCAATGGAACCAGAGTTTTTTCCAAGTCATTTTGGGTCGTTTCTTTTAGTCTATTCATCATGAAATTTACACACAATGTAAAGAGCAACAGATATTTTCAAATTATGTCAAAAAAACCCGAAAACGACAAAAATCCAGATACAAAGATTTGTTCCTACATTAGAGATATACACATATACACAATATACACATTAATCCAATGTACAGTTTTTATACATTATGAAATAAAAGCCATGATATGTACAGTTGTACACAATTCCATGAATGCAATTTGTGAGTTTGAGGTTGATAAATGAGATGCAGGATACACAGAGGATAGTATGTGTATATATATATATATATATATATATATATATATTCCAGATTAGACAGAAGATGTACAAGATGTCAATCTATATGTGCAGGTATAGATGTAGAAGTTACGGTAAGATCAGAGTGAGTCTGTTTGAGGTGTGGATGTGGTCACAGATCATGATGACGATGACGATTCAAAATCTGGAGTTTATGTAGGGAACCATGCTTGTGAATTGTAAATACAGTGTAGATACAGCAAACCTGTTTCTATTATTCTGGCCACAGGATTCATTGGCTTGGTGACCTGATTGGCCAGAGCAAATTTTCATTATGTCTGTCTACCTCTGTACACACACACACACACACACACACACACACAAACACACACACACGCACACACACACACACATGGTAGTTCCTCTAAAGTCTCCTCTGTCTGTTGTCAGTCTCCAAGTACACACCTCCACTCAAGCATGGATAACTGCCTAAAATATTCATTCTCAAGGACACACACACACAAACGCAGAAGGAGAGGAGAACGTGGGAATAAACAGAAAAGAAAAAGAGAGAGAAGAGCAGAGTTTGGTCCAACAGCAGAGGAGATGAGGACCATGGCGGTGGTTCATTACTGTCTCTTAATGTAATTAAATCTACAAATCACCACAGAGAAACAGCTCCATTTATTAGCTGCTTCGCTCTAAACTGTGGAGCTTGCGTTTCATCCACTCGGGCTAATTGGGCATTTGGGCTTTTTGCTTTTGGACTAAACACTACGGGGGAAGAAAAATCCTCTCAGCACTCAGAGTAAGAGCAGTGGGAAATGAGAGCCAGAGTGCGATGGAGGAGGAGGACAAGAACATCCGGCCAAAGTTTAGTGTTACAAAGAAGTACGAGAGGTTTGATCAAAACTTTATTAATATAATACCTGCGGAGAAATGATTTGGGCTTATATTAGAGCTTTAATGTTTAAAGTTTTTTAACTTTTAAGCTAACTGTAGTCATTTTGAATGCTTATCATAGATGGGCATTTTACACAAATTGGATATTCCAATTTGTAAGCCATTCTAAAAATATTTGTTTAATACATTTGTTTGCCTTCTACATAATTTTCAAGTTCAGCATCACACCAGGCAGGCGACACACAGCGTCCAAGAAATATTAAACCATCGTTCGTAATTAAGGTGCCCACACCAGTGCTGACATGCGGCGTCAAAACACGCACCGCCAGTCAGCGACTTCCAGCACTGCTCTTTGTCTCTTATCTCAGCATCTCCTGGTTCTGTATTCAATTAAGTCCAGGACCACTGAGAAAAGCAAAAGCAAGGCATTAAGATGAACAGATAAATGCTAATGGTCTGTTTTCTTAAGCTTACACTGCTAGCTTTGACACGTTGCAACTTATTTTGTGTCAAACTTTTGTGGAAAACAGCGAGTTTAGTTGATGCTACACTTGATAAATTTGGTAAATGATGTCGAAAGTTTAATTCTATCAAATCTAAAAGAGAACTGAACTCGACTCTGATGTGCAACAGCTGAACAATATGCTGTGGGGCGCAGTGCATCTCACCCAGCGTGCGTATTTAACCGTCTGCGGTACCTTTTTCTTTTCCCTTGTTTGGACTAAAGCCCATGTGTCAAACACAAGGCCCGCGGGCCAAGTCAGGCCCTCAGCACGATCCTGTCTGGCCCACGAAATTATTTTCATTTTCAATCAATATTAGCCCATTTCACAGTGTGCTGCACTACCATCCCCAACATGCACTGCAACGTGAAGTGCACTCCAACCCCCCTCCCCCCAACAGCAGTCTATGGGACAGCGGTTACACCTCAATCCTACCCCACTAATCACATCACCAGACACACTGGCTGTGTCTCAGTATCAATGCAAGCAATATAAACACTTAGCCAGCTAAAAAAACACCTAGTTCACTAAAACTGAGAAGTGGACAGGGAACGCTGGGGATTTCAAGATGGATGGGAGCTCAAATACCTCTTTACATTTCCAATATCTGTCTCGTTTACATGAATGGTGTGGCCGTAATGAAGGAATACCACATAAAGTATGAAACGAAAGTTGGATAGACAGCAGAGGCGACAGAAAAGAGGGTGGAGATGAAGAAGGGCGTTCTCTGGCCCACGGATTTGTTGAGGCCCTTTTAGCGGCTGAGTTTGACACCCCTGGACTAAAGTGATTAGAACGTCTTAGAACACTGCCCTCTGGTGGAGTAAAGCTTTTCAGCTCACGGTTCTTAAGTAAGAGAATCAGGGGCCGGAGTCACGAAAGCTTTCCTAAGGAAAACGAACGACGAACACTGAGAAGTTCGTAAGAAACAATTCTCAAAAAAACCTTAAGAAGTTCTCAAATGGACTCTTAAGATAATCTTACTTATTTTCTAAGATTTTCTTAAGAAAATCTTTATTGTTTTCTTACGTCGGCTACGTTGCATTTTACCACGTACCATAAATGATGCAAGATACATTTTGAACTTGTATGAACTGTTATTTCCGTTATTTAGTTTAATCTGCTCAGAGGAGCAAAATGGAGGAAAAACATCAAACCAAGAGTTTAAAAAAAGAAACAACCAACAGGAAAAATATCCTCATTGGAAAATATGAAAATTGTCTACTCTCACAGCCTAAGAGGTGTGTGAGGCTATTGAAAGGTTAAGAAAACATTTAAGAGGATAATATTTTAAGAATACCATTGTTCTTAGAATTATTCTTAAGAAGTTGTTTGAAGAATAACAATTTTTCATAACTTTTTTCTTAAGAATGAAGTTAAGAAAAAACACATTTAAGAAGGTTTTTTTTTTTTTTCGTGAACCCCCTGTAATCTTACAGAGAAGCTAAATTGCTTTACAAAAATCTAATTTACTGATTTTTTTTCATGACTATTTGAACATTCAAAAGTCCTGGTCCTCCCAAATGCGTTTTTCATGATAGGAATTATTCATACAGTTCCATCCCTGATATATTTAAAAGCTGCTGATGTGTCTAAACCTTTAGTGGCTGCACCAGGTGACCATTTACAACGTCACAGACTGACCATGTCATCCCTTTCACTCCTGTGCTGTGATAAACTAGGCCACACGCAGCTACTGCGGCTTCCACGTATCGAAACCGGTGTGTTTGATTCCCTCGATATTTAATACGGACGGATTTACTCAGAGGGGACCTGCTGGCCAGACAGATTAAAACCGCTGCTGGGAAAAAAAAAGGATTTCCAATAAAGATTCACAACCGCCAGTGTAATGCAGTACGCGACTAGGCTTAACCTGCTTTTCCTTTCCCTCCTTTATTTACCCACGATAGGGCCCTTGAGAGCTTTCTGCTCTTTTCCAGAGCTGCTACGACAGCAGTTCTGGAGACTCAAAAGCTTTTCCATGTTTGTGTGTTTTGCATGATCATGTTTTCATTTTTGACAGTAATGTCAACAGTTCTATCCTATTACAGCTATAAACCCAGCTCAGTTCAGCTCAGCTAATGAGATGCGTCACTCAGTGAGCACATCTATACACTATAATAGGAGATATTAGTCCATAAACAACAGCAAAAGCAGAGTTTAATTGGGTGCACCAGGCAAAGACAGTGTGTTAGCCTTTTTTTGTTTCTGTCTGATTTCTCAGCAGCTCAGGAGAGTGAAGGAGAGCCGGAGAGGATTTAGCTCTCTTGCTGCTGCGCTGTACTGCTGTTTAATCTATGTTAAAAAAACCTGCATTGATCCAAATGACATCAGACTTTAAACAGCCAATTCCCCCATATATCAGCAGTAACAGAGAGAGAGAGAGAGGGAGAGAGAGAGAGAGAGAGAATCTAGGATTACACCCGTATGAACCCCCATATGAGCAAAGCTCCTATAATGGCAAACTGCTTATCCTGTTAGAAGAAAATAAACAAGAAATAAATTACGCAATTACGCATCTGCCTACGATAATATCAGGAACAGTGGGCCTAAGTGACTCACCCAGTTTCAATAACATCAGTAGGAAATGTCTTTTCCATGTAATCTCCACTCTTCTCCTGTTTTCATTCCCTTCTGTTAAACGTGCTTTCCTTTTTCTTTGATCATTAATCCTGATTTGCTGATTGTAATTAATTCCAAAGGCACAGTAAGTCCAAACCATGTCAGTGAATAAACAAAATCAAAATTCGGTTTGGCTTCTTGATGATGTTTTGGCGATGCTGTAGCTACATACGAGACAATGACGCCATTGTGTCCTTTCAACACAAAATAAATCCACCTTGAGAGCCACATTTTATGTCAATTTTACCATCTTGGCTGTAAATATGTCTCAGTATGTGCTTATTTACTAGTATAGGCTTAAAAAATATAACATAAATGAAATAAGCAGACTTACTTTGCTCTGCTTTAAGCTGTAGCTCAGCTGAGATGCCGCTTTTCTCGCATCTCTGGCAGGAGATTTTCCCACAAAAGTAGAATAGTTTCTTGTAAAATGTCTCTCAGCGTTCGTTTTTTTTAACGAGGCTAAATCAGCTTTTCATTTGCCAGGTTCTTGTTCGATATTTCCCGTTCCACCTTAAATAAAGAGCTCGCTAAAAGTGTTTTTGGTTAGTTTTTGTAATGAAGTATTTCTGCATCTCAGTAAATTCTGGCTGTTCTCCCTCTCTCTGCAGGTACAGGTGGGCACCTCCCATCAAGAGCAGAGGGTTGTGGGATACATCACCTGTACTCACCTGCACGCTATAGAGGGTGAGTAATTGTGTTAACCACACATTGACACTGACTTTAGTAATGATGTCACAAAATGCAACTGTACATCACTCTTATGAGTGGTCTCAGTGGTGTAACGATACACATACACACGTTTGATGCATTGTTTGATTCTGAGATTAAGATCTGGATTGTTTTTTGATATTTTATGTATTAAGAATGTCTTGGTTCCACTTGTATTCAGTTTTTTTTTCCACGCATAAATAAACTCCACTCCACCCCACACATAATCCCCCTATACCTATTAAAACAGATGGTTCTTCAAGGGTTCTGCATGGTGAAATGGTTCTTCAGTTTGATGGAGAGTGTGTTGTATATGGTTCTATGTAGCACCTAAAATGGTTCTTCTATTGTTATGATGTCAAAAAAGATTCCCTTTTTCAAGGGTGAAGAACCCTTGAAAGAAACATAATTTTTTAAGGGTGCAAAATTGATAATTGAAAAAACGCTTTAGAGGCAATGAATCATTTGAGCATGGGTGTTTCCATAGCATAAGCCCCACCCCTCCCTGAAAGCTTTATTCCGAAAGGCTTTAATACATATATATATATATATATATATATATATATATATATATATATATATATATATATATAAAGGCAAATACGAATCCAGTTACTCTTCCAAAGATACAGACAGAGCAAGCAATGAGGGTGGGAAAAACAGATGCATCAGGATTCTCTCCTAAAACATTCATAAGACTCTGGGTTTTTATTTAAGCCCTGCTGTTTTTTCCCTACTGTAAAATTATCTTATGCACAGCCAGAAACTTTATAAAGTCTATACTTTGGCACTGCCTGGCTTTTTTTTCATAAGTACCCAATCTTTCTGATGAAAATTAAACACTGTATATTACACAAAGATCAAAAAGATCAAATAAAATGTTTTTATGTGCACAGAGTTTAGATTACACTCAGTTTAAACTGAGCTAATACTACTTGTTAATAGCAAATACAGGAAAAAATCATAATGTAGGTTATAGGACTCTATAACTGAGAATCGTTTTATAACAGGACTCCATGATAAAATACGTTATACACGATATGAGTTTCCACATAAACACATCTTTAAGGGCTGAAGTGACAGAACGGATCAAATTAATTAAATTACGCATGCAGAGTAAGATAATTAGATTGGTGGGAATGAAGCTTAGGGAACGAACTACTAGCCTGTAGAAATGCTTAAAACATGGTGATTATTCTCCCTCTCAGTGTTGTGTGTAAAATGCATAGACTGTATAACAGAATGTTTGAAGCAGTGTTACAACAAATCTGCATCATCATAAGGAGATTATAAATAAATTACATTGATATTTACGTCTATGCCTATATTGAAAATAAAAAAAAATATGCAAAATGTTTGTAGCCTGTCTACAAGCATGAATAAACAAAACAGGTTAGGAAATCCTGAAGTTATAGAGGCTACATATTGACCACAAGGGGGTGCCATTAGCAGTCAAATAGCTTTGATGCTGCAAAAGAGCAGCGTTTTACATCGGTGACACTGTGTCCTCATTCAGCCTTACAGTGCACAACAATGTGTGTGCAGTTCTGATGTAAGTAGCTATTAGTATTTCATTATTTTTGTTTTGCACAGTAGTGAGAAGAGATTAACAAAAAAACAACAACAACAAAAGGAAGTCTATGATTCTTCTGTATCCAGTCAGAGGTGCACTATTTTAATAATCATCTTCAATCAAAATCTAATCAAATCACCTGGTGCCATGAGATTCCCATCCCATATGAGCTATTCACTACTAAAGAAATACAGTAAAATGGACCATTCAAGTATTTTTTATTGTTTTTGTTTAATTTAGTAACATACCAAGTATAGCAATACTAAGTATGGGCGCTTGCACACACACACACACACACACACACACACACACACACAGCCTCCCAGCGGTGCTGTGCTAGTTGGGTTTGAGCAGTAACACTGAGAGGAACTGACAGGTTTCTCTCCAAACGAGAGAGAGAGAGAGAGAGAGAGAGAGAGAGAGAGAGGGGGAGAGAGAGAGAGAGAGAGATGAAGAGAGAGAGAGAGATAAAGAGTATAAAGAGAGAGGGGGTGAGAAATGAGAGAGGAAAGGAGAGAGACAGAAAGGAAGAGAGTGACTGTGAAAGAGAGAGAAAGAGAGACATGAAAAGAGAAAGAGAGACATATGAAGAGAGAGACATACAGACAGAGAGAGAGAGAGATATGAAAAGAGAGAGGGGGTGAGAGATGAGAGACAGAAGGAAATGGAAAAAAAGAGACAGCTAAGCAAGACAGAAAGAGAGAGAGAGAAACGGAGAGAGGAAGGAGAGAGAGAAAGGACAGAGAAAGAAGAGATATGAACAGAGAAAGAGTGAGTGATTAAAAGAAAGAAAGACGTAAAAAAGGGAGAGATGAAATGAGAGAGAGAGACAGAGTGAGCGATATCAGTAGACAAACGCTAATAGAAGACGCACTCAGCTTGGACGGTAGAGAGAGAGAGAGGGTTTTATGCTATGTGTGTGTGTGTGTGTGTGTGTGTGTTAGACACCTGCACACACACACCTTCCTTGCATGTCTGTGACATCAATGCATACACTGACCTGCACGGCCTGCTCTCTCTCTTTCTGGACGGATTAACGATCACAGCCCCTCCAACACACCCACACACACACACACACACGGGCTCACGCAAGTCCGTTCCCATGGCGACTGGCCGTGGCCGAGCTGAGCATCAGTGTTGCTATTTAAAGGCGGAGCGTCGTGGCGGGTTTAGGGAAGACAAATCTGCTGCTATTCCTGGATCCACCCACACACACACACACACACACACACACACACACACAGCCGCTAGCCATGCTAATTACAGCACACACTGCTATTTCTGACACATCTGAGAAATATGAGAGGGAGAGACAGAGAGAGAGAGAGAGACAGAAAGAGAGAGAGCGCAGGTGAAGAAGTGGAGTGTGAACAAGAAGGACAGAAAGGGAGGACGTTGAGAGAAAGGAGAGAAATACATACATATACAGTACATGGCTGAAAGTATGTAAACACTCCTTTAATTAGCGACTTTGGCTATTTCAGCCACACCCATTGCCCACAGGTCAAGCATACAGCCTGGCCAGCTCCATAGAAAGGCAGTGGCAGTAAAATAGGTCGCACTGAAGTGCTCCCTGACTTTCAGCAACTTTCTGAGTGGACGACACCTTTCCAACCAGTCAGTTCTTCCAAATGTCTGCCCTGCTAGAGCTGCCTGGGTCAACAGTAAGTGGAAGTTTAGGCACATCAACAGATCAGCTGTAGAGTGGGGGGCCAGTAAAACTCTCAGAATGGGCCTTCAAGTGCTGAAGCTTGTGAAATCGCCTTTCATTGGTTATAACGCCTCTAGAAGCAGCGTGGGCACAAAAACGGTTTGATTTGAGTTTCATGGATTGAGTTTCCATGGCAGACCAGCTGCACACAAGCCTAAATATTAAGACTTAAGAGAACACAATTCGCCAGTGTTGCTCCAAGTTGTATCTCTTAAGGTTGTGTTTGAAGCCACTCTTGGCTTGTGGGTGTGCAGCTTCTGCCAAAAGAATATCTACCATGTATAGATTGCTGTGTTTATAAGCTTATTCTTTTGCACAACAAAGGCAGGTAGGAACAAAAAGTTGAGAGAGTAGACATGGACAGTATGTGTGTATCCCCAATTCGATTGGACCTTGTCACAATTCATCACAATCATCTTTAACCTTAGTCCAGATAGGGTCGTGGTACCACCTCAACTGGCTCCTCTCAATGCGGAGGAGTAATGGCTCTACTCTGAGCTCCTCCTTCCTGGATCGGGCCCTTGCTGTGGCGGAAGGGCTTGTGTGGTCTAGGGTTCTTCAGAGCTAAGTCGTCTGGAGCTGTATGCTCCTGGTAGGGTCTCCCAAGGTGAACAGGTCTGGAGTGAAGACCCAGACTAACTCAATCCAAAATCCATAACTCAGGGACACAGGAAATACCAGGACCTACCTCTGGAGCCAGGCCTGGGGGTAGTTATACTCGGTGAGCGCCTGGTGGCCAGGCAGCCCACATAACCCAGTTGGGCTCAGCCTGAAAAGGCAACGTGGGGGGACCATGTGGGCCCACCACCTGCAAGGTCCAGCATGGAGGACCAGTACAGTGCTGTATAGGCCGTGGAAGCACATTCTCTGGATGAGCATAATGCTTCACCATCTGGTAGTCTGACAGATAAATCTGGATGCCAAGAGCAACTGCCAACAAAAAGTTTGGTTGAGGAGGGATAATGGTCTGGGGGAGAAATCTTAATGCATGGCATTCAATGAGATTGGAGAGAACTGTGTGCTTCCAGCTTTGTGTCAGCAGTTTGGAGAAGGTCCTTTCCTGCTCCAGCATGACAGTGATGCTGAACAGAAGAGCTTCACTGCTCGGTGCTGTGTTCTTAAAACTGGAGGACATTGTACCAAAGCGTCTTCTCAAGTTTCTTTGTGTGTGTTTGTGTGTGTGTGTTGATATATAAGGGTCTGATAGCTGGTGACATTGCGGAGGCGGATGTGCGGCGTTCTTTAGCTGTATATGAACACTGTCAGTTCACACTAGCTGGTTGACTCATGAGCTGAGCTTTGATTTAATGCAGGCTTTCTTTCTTAGTCTTCACTAAAATGCAGCCTGATTTAGCCTCTCAGCTGTGGCATTCACAGCAGCCTACACACATCTCTCTCTCACACATTCAGCATCTCTCGCAGACTCTCACACATACTAGTGTGTATTCCTGTCTTTGTGGGTGTTTAGATGTTCCTCTGTGCTCCATCTAACCCAACGCTGACCTTAACCAGGACTGGCGTTTTGGACGAGCATGACAACTTTGCGAATTGGCCGTACCTTTGATTGTACTCCTGCAGCCAGTGGCTACAACGAAGTAGTAACTCAAACCGTTAAACATCTGTGTCGACCACAGAACAGGAAACAAAAATGAAAGAAACACAAACCTCAGAACTCATAACAGGACAAAACTGCACAAAGAAGCAACTTTAATATGATTGTGATTATTTTGTATTACTCTGCATTTATATCTTCAGATTTAACGAGCCACGTTAAGAGTTGGGTCACTGTTTGTTGTTATTGTAATTATGTAATGTTAAATGTTCTGCTTGGCTACTTTCATTCTTTGAATAAGCTGTGTTCATGCAGTCCATATATGGCATAGATGGTCTTGGAAGAAGTCGAAATCTTTAGCCAACACCTCATTGCTATGATTATTGGTTAAACTGTAATTTTGATCGGTCAGTATCAAAAATAGAATTTTGATTGTAATGTACTTTGAGATTTTTTTTATGTGTGGTTTTAGCTTATTTATTACTAAGATTGTAATATTAGTAAAGTACATTTGTGAACAAATGAACAAGCCATTCAGAAGCATAAAGACTCAAACAGAGGACAGGATGTCCTGGAGAAACACTGTCCATATGGTCGACCAGGAGCTGGAATCGACTTGTCAGCACTTAATAACATTTGAGTGGTTATTTTAGGTGGGCCAGTAACCAATGTGTGTGGGCCTAGGTCTGCCCCGTCATAGCGCCGCCACTGACCTTACCTACTAACCTCAACAACAAAGATCAGCTTTGGTCTCTTTTACCTATTCGCTTACACTTCACTCAAGGCTACATACATACATAAGGTTGTCATGGCAACTGAAACAAACCTACATAATCATTTAAAAGGCTTAATCTACTAGGTGTTGTGTGTCACAGAGGCTGGTTGGGGCTGGGGTGACACTGGGTGGTGTCATGACACGTTTTTGGGTGAGATGATCTAGCATGTTGAAATGCCTAACTTTGCAGCTTAGTGTATATCACAGTGACACACTGAGCTACAAAGTCTGTCATTAACCCTTTAAAATCTCAGGGTTATTATATACTAAGCCTTATTATTCAATAGCTGCAGGGACTCCAATGCAAACTGGTTGAGCTATTCTTAAGTTATAGAAGTGTGTAATAAAGCTTTGGGCCTGCTGGTGGACCCTGGCCATTTAAAACTGATGTCAGAAAAAATCTGCGTCCCAATTTTTTTTGACCACACTCTGAAGATGGTTCTTCAATGGTTCTTTTTAGGACCATGAGTTCTTTATAGAACCATTTCATGCTTTAATGGTTCTTTGCATGGTGAAAAGGCTCTTGAGATTGATGAAAAATGTGTTATATATGGTTATAGAGCACCGAAAAGGATTCTTCTATTGACATCATAATAATAGGTGCTATATAGAACCATCTACAACACAACCTTCTCCATTAATCTGGAGAACCATTTCACAGTGCAAAGAGCCATTTAAACATGAAATGGTTCTATATAGAACACAAAGTTCTAAACACAACCATTGTCTTTACTAAAGAACCATTGATGAACCATCTTTTTTAAGAGTGTAGACATCAAAAAATGCAGCCTTTATAAGAAATTATGCCTATTGGAAGTGTTTATGAACGTCTATGTGGGTCTGTGTCGGTTATAAAGAGCTTATGTAGGTGTTTATAAACACTGCCCTACAGTAAGGTACCTTAAAGCTGCAGTTTTTGTGGAACAAAAGCATTTTTTCCTCATGGACAGCCACAATGTTTTCATGTTTTCATCATCTACACACACACACACACACACACACACACACACGCACACATACACACACACACACACACACACACAAACACACCCACACACACAGGCGCTGTCTGAAATGCGTGGTAGTGTGTGAAATGCAATGGGAATGTACATCTCCCTCCTCTCCTCTCCTCTTCTCCTCTCTCCTTTCCTCTCTCCTCTCCTCTCTCTGTTAGCTGTGCTGAGCCCCAGTACACAGCTTCAGTCAGTTCCAGAGGCTTTACTGACAGAACTGTCGTTATCAACTGATAATAACAGTAAAGAAGAACAGAAAAATGACTAAATCAATTAAAAATTAGAGTAAAACCTGGTGTTTGTTCATGTTGTACAGTACATGCATTCATAACTTTATAGTTATTCAGCTCTTCTCCTCCTCTCCCCTCTCCTCTCTTCTTATTCTCTTCTCTTCCCTCCGTCTCTTGTATTTTCTTCTCCTCTCCTGCCTTTTTCTCTTCTCTCCTCTTTTTGTTCTCTTTTCCTCTCTTCTCTTCTCTCTATTTTTCTCTACCCCTCTTCTTTCCACCTTTCTTCTTCACTCCTCTTTTTTCTTCTTATCATCCACTTCTTTTCTCTTCTCTTCTCTCTCTCTCTTCTCTTCTCTTCTCTTTATGTTCTATTGCTCTGCTTTCCTCCTCTCCTGGTCTCTTCTCTTCTCTTCTCTTCTCTTCTCTTCTCTTCTCTTCTCTCTATTTTTCTCTACCCCTCTTCTTTCCACCTTTCTTCACTCCTCTTCTTCTTTCCACATATCTTCTTCACTCTTCTCTTCTCTTCTCTTCTCTTCTCTTCTCTATTTTTCTCTACCCCTCTTCTTTCCACCTTTCTTCACTCCTCTTTTTTTCTTATCATCCACTTCTCTTCTCTTCTCTTCTCTTCTCTTCTCTTCTCTTTATGTTCTATTTCCTCCTCTCCTTGTCTCTTATCTTCTCTCTTCTCTTCTCTTCTCTTCTCTTCTCTTCTCTTCTCTTCTCTTTATGTTCTATTGCTCTGCTTTCCTCCTCTCCTGGTCTCTTATCTTCTCTCTCCTCTCCTCTCCTCTGTCATATCTAGATATCAAATGGGTGCTACTGTTGCTACATGATGACGTTAGTCCATGTTTGTAGATGACTGTGTGATACAGTGTCAGAAGCCACATAATCAGGTCTCAGGTGGGGGTTTAAACTTTCATTACTTGTTAGCTACTTTAGCCTCATTTCTTCAGTACAAAACTAAAGAAGTAAACTGGGCAGTTTTTTCGACGGCATCTGGGGTAAGTGGGGAAATGGTGTCAATGTGACATACGCTCAAATTATTCCCTAATCAAAAGCTCTCTCTCTCTCTCTCTCTCTCTCTCTCTCTCTCATCCAGGTGATGCATCGGTGCGCTGTGAGCAGCTGGACCTGCTGTTGGAGTGGGGTGCTGAGTTCAGGAGGGCTACGTCCGTCCCCGCAGGTGAAGAGAAAGCTCTGGAGGATCAGGTGGCCTTTGACGTCATCCTTGGAGACCTCAACTTCGATAACTGCTCATCTGGTGAGTAAGAAACCTGCTCATTTTATTATTTCATAACTTATTGATGTCAAGCTTGTAACAATAGAATGTGTGTGTGCGTGTGTATATTCTTCTGTATACACACACACACACACACACACACAAACACACATATATATATATATATATATATATATATATATATATATATATATATATTTATATATTTATTTATTTATTTATTTATTTATTTATTTATTTATTTATATCACCATGCAAAGAACCATTTAAGCATGCCAATGGTTCTTTGAGTGTTTATGGTTCTATTTAGAACCATTGTCTTTACTGAAGACCCCTATTTAAGAGTGTACTTAATGGAGACGATGTCTGGATGTCTAACTAATGTGCTGTTTGTGCATATTTAACCCCTTTAGTTGGGCAGGAGCCACCAACAGGTCCAGGCGTCCATTCAGTTCTCTTATAACATAAGAATAACTCAGCCAGTTTGTACTGTCTTCCATATAATTATTGAATAATAAGCTTTAGGATATAAGCCATGGACTACAAGAGGTTAAACATAGTCTGCACAGTACTAGGTAAATCAATAGTTTACATAACTATGTTCATCGCAAATCACCTGAAACCTGCTTAAATTTTGTATAAATATGTGTTCAAATGTCTGCATGAACAACTACAGACAAGGCAGTATTGATCGCCAGCACCTTCTCTTACTTTTTTGTTTTTATTTATAATAAGGCAGCTGTCCAGCGTTAGTGTGAGCTATATATATATCCTAATAAACATAACTGTGTGGAAAAAGAAGGAGATGATCCCAGATCAGCCGTACAATGAGGTTCTATATCAGTGCCGGCCCATGTAATCTACTTCTGAGCCCTTGCTCTGCACCCCCATCCCCCCCACCCTTTGTTTCCCTCTCCATCTATGTCAGCCTGTCTTTCAGCTTGAAGCTCTGTCTGAACTGCTTTTCATTTCAAAGTCCATCTTAATCTCGGTCTGAGAAAGAAGCCGTGAAGTTGCTGATGAAGCATTAGCGGCTCTGTCCAATTCAGCACGAATGAACTGGATTGATCAGCTTAATTAAGTGGATCAGCCTGTCTTAGCCGCAGCGACGGCCTCCCTCCACTCTTGTTGAAATGCTAACGCTGTTAGCCTCGAAACCGCTCCTCTTGCACTGCTGTCAGCTTTCCTCTCTCAGGCTAAAACTTCAGTGTCGTCCAGACGTCAGATGATTCTGAACATTCTGGCAGTACAGAAGACTTACTCAGATGCTCACATATGCCACACACTGGTGTTCAGTGACTGTTTTATGAGTTTGGAGAAATCTGTCCCTTCTGTTCACTTCAAGGAGGAAAAATGGCTGCTTGTTCCAACAAGACAGCGCAAGTGAGGTAGTGTGTTTCAAATAAATTCAGGAGATGATCTACACAATCCAGCCCAATCATCACATTTAAACCCCACTGAGAAGCTAGGGGACTATGGGAAGGTGGTGGGAAATGTGTGGAGAAGAGAAGTCCAGCCACTGAGGATGAAGAATGGACAGCAGTGAAGAATGAATGGGAAACGGTTCCTTTAGATAGGGTTTCCTGAAATGTGACCTGCTGGTTAAAGTTGGTCTGTGAGGGTCTTACTTTCCTTTTAAAATTATATTTTTAAGCATTTGAAACATACTGTACTATATAGCTTCTATAAAGCTATTATATAACTACAACTGAAGTATTTGAAGAACACTCTACTACACATGTCAAACACAAGGCCTGCGGGCCAGATCAGGCCCGCAACACAATCCTATCTGGCGCGCAAATGTATTTTAATTTTCTGTTAATATTAGTCTGTTTCACTGTGCGCTGCACTACAGTCCCCAGCATGCACTGCAACATGAAGTGCGCTCTGAATCTCCTACCCCTACAACAATCTATGGGGCAGCAGTTTCACCTCAATTCTACAGAATTCCACACCAGTCATATCACCAAACACACTAGCCGCAGTTCAGCTGCAGTTCAGTCAATATAAACACTTAACTTAAGCTCAGCAGCTCAGAAACTGAGCCCAAGTCTTAATGAACTTGCAGCAAAGAAAGGATGCCAGGTGTCTAGTTCAAGCAAATAGGCAGGTTTAAAAGACTGAGGTCCTGGGGACGTTTACATTTTGAATATTTCAAGTATTCATGTAATATTTTAAGGTGTACTGCAAGTGTCCGTATTTTACTGCTGAAGTTTTTGCAAGTTTTGAATAAACAATGGCCAGTTTGGGTTAACACCCAACATTTATTAGAACTGAAATAAAAACTTTTTTTTCTCTGGCCCACAGATTTGTTGAAATTTTTTAATATGGCCCCTTTAGTGGTTGGTTTGACACCCCTGGGCTAATGTATAAAACATATATGTTTACAAACTTGATTTTAAGCCAACGTACCTTCATTGATTGTACATTGTTTTGTCTGTTTGGATCTGTACATGTTCACTGCATATAGGCACACCTGCTATAGATCATTAAAAAAATATATAAATATGAAAAAGCAATGTGAGGCTGTCATCAAGGCTACAGCAGGAGCTACAAAATACAGATCAATATTGATAATAATAATAATAAGAATAATAATAATAAAAACTACAAAATATTGACAAACGCTGTTTAACACTGATAAACATTTTTAGTGTGCATTTCATAGAAGTGGACGATATGGCAAAATGTAATATCGCAGTATTAAAAAAAAAAGTTCCAATACATGACAGGTCACAATAATTATATATATATATATATATACACACACACACACACACACATATATATATATATATATATATATATATATATATATATATATATGTATTTTTTAAGAAATCTGATCAGTTCGAATTGAGAAAAAAAAAGCCTGTAGAGCTACGTTTAAAAAATACTACCAAAAACTGTGAACACAATGATTTTTATTCAATATTTGGCATATTGTGTTCAACTAAATACAGTTAAACAAGACTAATTTTGCTCTCATTATAATGAAAGTGCAGTGGGTCAGTGCTCTACAAGTCCTGACAATGTACACAATGTGTTCAGAAAAGGATACTGTATTGTACTGTGATACAGTTTATCACAATAACTATATATCACTGTTGTCGGAAGAAAACCTTGTATCTCCAAAATGGTAACTTTACAGGAGAAGGAAAAAACCTACTTTACTTTTAATGTTAGTCAATGGAACCAGAGTGAAATTTACACACAATGTAAAGAGCAACAGATATTTTCAAATTATGTCAAAAACTGAGAAACATTAAAAATGGAGATACGAGGTTTTCTTCCGACGGCAGCGATATATTGTCATATTTCCCAGGCCTAACACTTCAGATAGTTTGCATTTATTTCTAAACAACTAATTTTTACAAAGAAGTGCATCTCAACTCTTTCTGATGGACATTTGAATATATACAAGAAGTGCAGACTTTAAAATTAATCTCTCTCTCTCTCTCTCTCTCTCTCTCTCTCTCTGTCTCTCTCTCTCTGTCTCTCTCTCTGTTAGAGGATAAGTTGGAGCAGCAGCATGCTATTTTTACGCAGTACAGAGATCCGTGTCGTCTGGGGCCTGGAGAGGACAAGCCGTGGGCTTTGGGTGAGTCTGCACTCTCCTGATTACAGCCATTACTGCTCGGCCGTGGTGCATTACGCGCCTCAGACTCTGACCTGTTTTCATGCACAGAATCATCACAGAAGCTTTCAGGTCTTGAGTTTCACAATCAGATTCAGAGAGCTGAGGAAACCATGAAGCACAGCGCAGACTTTTAGATTTACTTATGAACTCTTAGACTGATCGAAAGGGATTGCCACAATAAAAGTCCCTAAGTGCTAAATATATTAACATACCACTAACAAATCAGCAAATCTGAAACTGCAGCAGCATTTCCCTTATTTTCCACTCGGACTAGAATCCTCAGTAACCAATCAGCAACGAGCCTGTGAGTTTCAGTATTCAGTATCATTTCTGGTTTGAGTTAAAATTGTTTTGTTTTCAGATCTGCTATTCAAATTGCTGTTATGACTTTTACCTATTTAGCTTTAGTTTCTAGCAGTTTGTCTGGTACTCTCCTAGATATACGTACCTAGATGCCGTGTTATCTGTTGTTCTCTATCTGTGACGATACGTCTGCGCGTCCGCCATGTTGGAGAGGTCAAGATCCGCTTTTGAACAGCTTCACCTGTATTGAGAGACGATGAGTCTCAGGATTAAATCAGCCACAACTTCCTAATTACTCAACCGATTTTCACCAAATCTGTTTTGTTAACATCCTCAGACACGGATCTGCTCTGAGTAGCTTTTATTTCTTTAATAACTGATCGTGATAATTAGCCGTCTGGACCAGCAGGAAAGTATTCAGTCTGCACCTGACGTTAAAAACTGAGTTTAGTGCAAGAAACACAATCAGACACACATCAGCAAATCCATCAGTGTGTGAATCACTTCTAATCTTAACACACATAAACATAAAATAAACTCCAAACACAGTAAGAAGGACGAAGCTAAAGTTGGCTTCTTATTTACCAGCTTCTTGTTCGAGTTTTTCCGTTCCACCTTAAATGATGCAGCAGTTACATTCTGGTGCCTGAAGCTGCACCATTTAAGGTGGAACGGGAAAATTCGAACAAGAAGCTGGTAAATAAGAAGCTAACTTCAGCTTCGTGTAAGAAGGTGCTAATGCTAATCTGTTATGAATATCTACACGGATTAAGGACTGCTGTAACTTACCCAGCTACAAAGCTTTAACCATCACTGTAAATAAATAACTCTTACATAAAGTTAAGACCCCCTGAATAGACTATTAAATGAAATAAGCTTAATAGAAAACCAGAGGAGGAACAATCACATCAACAGGTTCTCTGTGCTTCACCGACCACACAGCCACCAACCACACGACCACATGTACACATAAACATCACACAGACATGAGTGTGGATCTCTGCGTTCCCTCCGTTATATAATCCTCTCCCACTTTCTGAGTGTAATATTATTGAAATAGTGTAATTGTGGACAGTATCTTCCTTAAACTGCCGCTCTGTAATGGTACTGAATGCAGTCCAGCAGCGATGGTGACCGCCCCAAAATGGCGGTGCCGTTGATGTGCCTGGCTGGACCCAACGCGGCATCTAGGTATGTATATCTATGGGAACTCTCCCAGCACAAGGTAAACTTTTCTGAAAAGCCTCTCTGTTCCTTTTCGAAAGAGTCCTTCAGAGAATCTTTTCCAATTAAAACTTTGTGTGAAAACGGGAGCGTGACGTTTCCTGGACCCTTCCTCTCCAGAGGCTCCTGTACGGCCCTTCAAAGCTTCTTCTTTTGTGTGCCTGTATGCACACAGGGCCTCGCTCTCGGAGCAAAATTAGCCGTGGCGCGGGCATCGCTCGCCGCAGATGGTGTGCGAGATGAGCTGGCAGGAAATGGAGAGGCTCGCCTTCCCAGCGTGCTTTGCATCCACACTGAACAGAGAGAAGCCTCCTAATGGCAGTGTTGCAGTGAGCGCAGGCAGGTTCGATGGCTGCCGTCCAGTCCTCTACAGCGCTGCCCTCCTCCATGTCCAAGCGCTCAGGGGAGCTGGGCTGTAGCAGCAAACATAACATGGCTGCCAATCCTTCTGGAAAGCTCTTTAAAATGTTTGCTGGGGTCAGTAGTCTTAGCTCAAGTTTTTACCACCAAACTGGACAAACATTGATGGACTTTTTAGAGCAGTGTTGCTTCAAACATTGTGCTGGAGCTGCTGGACCTGCAGGACCCTGTGGAGCTCTCACTGCTGTTTCTGGTCTCAGAAGGATGATTAAAAATGTCTCTTACAGTGTGGAAAAGTCAGAACTGAAACACTGTTTTAAAGCAGGAACACTGCAAAAAATGGTATCTTGTCCAGTAAAATGATCTGAAAAATAGTCAATAATCTAATATTTCTTCTGTTGAGATTGTTGTGAGCTTAATTTAAGATTATTTTCCTTATTTCTAGACCTTTTTTACTTGTTTTAAGTGATTTTATTAAGTAAAATTATCACACTATATTGGCAGATCATTTTACTTGTTTTAAGAAATGTGGTTGAAACCAGCAAAATTATCTGCCAGTATAGTGAGATAATTTTACTTAATAAAATTATGTAAAATAAGTAAAAATTGTAGAATAAGGTAGAAATAAGGTAAATAATCATATAATAAATGCACGAGAATCTAAAAAAGGGCAAATATTAGATATATGAACTAGATTTAAGATCATTTTACTTGACAAGATACTATTTTTTGCACTGAACGCACTTTGTTTTTTTTTGTTTTTTTGTGGTGGTGTCCCATAGATCGTTGTAGGGGAGGGGGGCAGGAGCACACATTATGTAGCAGTGCATGCTGGGAACTGTAGTGCAGCTCATGGTGAGATGGGCTAATATTAATATAAAATTTAATAATTTTGTAGCCTGAATAGGATTGTGCCACGGGCCTGACTTGGCCCATGGGCCTTGTTTTTGACATGTGGGGTTTAGGGCAATAGTGCAAATAATAATAATAATAATAATAAGAATAAGAAGAAGAAGAAGAAGAAGAAGAAGAAGAAGAAGAAGAAGAAGAAGAACAACAACAACAACAACAACAAGAAGAATGATAATTAACAGCAATATAAATATTTTTTTCTATTCATTTCTAACAATTATGTTTTATTATTATAGAATATTCAAATATTCGAGATAATGTTCAATAGAATATTTGTAAAAGTAACATAGTAGGATAGTTGCTGCCCTGGACGAAACTATTCCTCAGAACTTAAAAAATTCAGGGCTCAGTCCAGAGCTTGACTACTCGCTATTGATAGCAGATACAAATTAATATTTGGGTTGGAAAGTGTTTTTTTGTCAACAGTTAAATTTTTGTTTTTTTCATTGCCAACTGTTGACCGCTCTGTGGGCATGTTCCTAACATGCAAACAAGTTCAGCTGTCCAGTGGGGCTGAATAATATTGACACAAAATGAAATGTTTGGAAAAAGCTGTTGGTTATCATGATGACGATATGAGAAAATACTGCGCCTCTGACTGGATGTGATGCAAGTACATATTTATTTGGATATGTGTCATAGGAGAAGGTGTCTGGATGCAAATGCAGTGGCTTTTAATAGCAGACAAAAACACACAGTCCAAAAAACAGCAAACATGACAACAGAGAAAAGCTCAAACGTGGAAGGCAAAAGTACAACAAACCACGGCTCAGAATCCAGTAAAGACCCCAGAGACTTCACAGGGACTAAAAGTCACAAGCCAGCTTTTAAAACCAAGGACTGATGAGGTCCAGGTGAAGGAAGGCGGGGCCAGTAATCAGAAGTCCCGTGCGGCTGATCATGGGAGAGAGGTGGGCGGAGCTTAGGATGTGACAATATGTAAACAGAAATCTAACTAACTTCTCCTTTAAGCAAACAGCTACACAAAATTACAAAAGCATCATTCACTGATATGCAAAACAAAAAGAAATGAAATACTAACAGCTGATTCCAGCAGAACTGCAGGCGCATTTTTGTGCACTGAAAGGCTGAAAAACAGTCAGCATTACCTCAACAGGTTTTTCTATAAAGGCTACAAAATAAATATATATTAATTTTTTTATTGGTACACAAGAATGATTTTTTTTTGTTAATTTGCTTATTGCTTAGTTAATAAACATGTTTGTTGTGACAGTAGAAATTACTACCTCCCACACTTAAAACACAATACTGGGTGTGAGAACGATCCTAATTTTTGATGTGTTTTACAGACGTGTAGTTCAGGATGGAGGAATGTCTGAGCTGTGTTATTTGTGTTCTGTAATCGGCTGTTTAGCCTAATGGTTAAGTTACTCATCTCCCATGTGGGTGAGCAGGATTCAATCCCAATGCAGAGTAGAACTTGTTAGCCATCTAACGGTTTGTGTCGGTAAAGTAATTATGTCTTTCTGACACTGTGTGTATGATGTCACAGCTCTTGTTAATGTATTTATCGCGATAACAATAAAAATATGATTTATCGTGCAGCCCTACTGTCCGGGCTAGGCTAGTTCTATGCTCTAAATTGTTTTAAAAATTATGAACTAATGTAAAAACCTCTTACTGATTTCTTCTCCTGTTTTCTCAACACTGATTGCAGCACGTACAGCTGTATGCAAAAGTTTGGGCACCCCTTTGGGCACATTTGAATGGCAGCCGCCCTTTGAAATTTGCTTCTGATGTTCATAAAGTTGAGAAAAGCTTTTACTGCTCTCTTTGGGCTGCAGCTATCTGACTGTCCTCCTGCCTCTCTTCATGGAAACCAAAGGAGGTGAAATGAAAAAGGCCTCACTCCGTTGTAATGTGAATGAAGCGTAAAATTGTTTGGGTTGAACTTGGGAATCGGTGATCGCCCATCAATAAGAGGTGGTAAAAAGTACTACCATCTTCCTTTAGCAGGAATTCCATCCAAAAGTCCCAATTTTTTTCCTGCTGTTTTCAGTGTAGCACTTGGAAAGAAATACACATTTATATTTAGATTTATCCGTTTAAAATGCTCTTTGCAAGGAACGTTCAGTCTGTTAAGATTACCTGGGACGCAGAAGAGGAACTGATTAAAAAAGCCTCCGAAAAAAACACCCTGTTTGGTCAAGCAAGAGAGGGAGAGAGACAACGAGGAAGTGAAAGAATGACCTGTAAGAATAATGTAAAAAAATCCCTGAGGGTAGTTACCTTAGTGAGAAATGGAGGAACCGTTACTATGACTCACCGTCTTCGCCAGCAGGCTCGTGGGCGCAGCCTCTGGAACGCAGGGCGCTCTCCAGGGGTTTTGATTGCAGAAGGATGTCAGATCGGTGTTCTTGTAATGACTGGAGTGTCTTGGCGAGGAGTGTTTGAGTGGTGAGGAGATTAATGCGGAGAACGCATGCAAACGCGGGGCTGCACGCAAACGCATAAATATAGCAGCCGAAAGACAACAGGCCAGATATGAGTCAGTTTCCAGTGGTTGTACAGCCATTATAATGTCCATCTGAGATAAAAAGACTTTGTACAATGTGTTTGTGCTTGTGTGTGGGTGGGTGTGTGTGCGCTGTCTAACAGGTACCTTGTTGGACACAAGTGGTCTATATGATGAGGAGGTCAGCTCGCCCGAGAGTCTTCAGAAGTGAGTGTCACACATACCAGACCATGCACCTGCACCTGCACGCATGCACACGTCAACTCATAACACCCTCACACTCATCTCACACATACAAATATGCAATATTAAACTCTAATAAGTCCCTTTGGGGACTAATAATGTGTTATTTTAATATTACTCTTCACAAATGTGCATGTGCACACGTACAGTACTGTACAAAAAGCTTTTGCTGCCAATTTATCTGGGTGGTAAGTGTTTACTTGCTCTGAAAAATGCTAATATTAAAACAAACAAATATATATATTAATACAATAAGTAGTGCATTTGTTTTAGCCAATCATTTCCAAACCTCCTCTCGAGAAAACCCAATATTATCATTAAATACCTGGTTCTTAGGTAGCAATACAGGTTCTATGCAGGTTCATTTTTCATTCATCAAGCTACAAACAGTGTAAATGTTCCCTCAAAGGTACAACAGTGGTTTTAAGGTCTGATTTAAGGACTGAAAAAACACTTTTTCCTTGATTTTATAAAAAAAAATTATATAAAAGATGCTGTGATGTACAGTTTACTTACCAGTCCATACAGTATATGGAAGCTGGGAGTCTACACTCTGAGAAAAAAGGTACTAAACAGTCACTGGGGTGGTTCCCTCAAGGGTACATCCCAGTACCTTTACTCAGAGAACATATTTGTACCATAATTCATTGCAATTCTATCTTTTAAGTTGCATTGACTCCACACACCTTGTTCTAAAACATTAGGTTATGAAGGGGTAAGATTATGTGCCTTTCCCCTGAGAAAAACCTATTTAAGGTTCACAGCTGGACCATAAAACCGTTGCTGTACCTTTGAGGGAACATTTACGCTGCTCGTACCTTCATGAATGAAAAAATGCACCTTTTCTTCCGGCAGCGTACAGCAGGTTAGCTCTGCCCACTCAGATTGAAGTTATAAGAGCTGTGTTCCAAAAATTAGGCTGCAGCAGTCTAGGTGGGCTGCATTTCTAGACCACTCCATCATCCAAGGCCTGGAGTACAGCTGAGAAATGCAGCCTACATTCTGACAGTTTTCGAGGAGGCTGCCTTCACTTTAACAGTTTAACAGTTTAACAGTTTAACAGTTTTTAGCTTGCAGGACGACTTTTACAAAAACATTGCTTTGCTTGCCACATATTACATCATTCACATCAACGTTTTGCCTGCCAGCTTATCATTCACACAAAGAGTCTTTTCTCCATTGCATTTTGCGCACTAGCTCCTTTCCGATGACGTGACAGAGCGGCCTTGGCAGGCTGTTCAGTTTTGCATTATGTAATACAAAAGAGGACATTTCATAGGACAGTTGTACTGAGGAGCGAGCTGTCTCTGCTTTTTAATTGCACAATTCAGGGTAGCCAATCAGAAGAGAGCTCATTTTCATATATCAGTTATACACAAGGTGCTAAACTGTCACTCTTGTCACTGGGGTGGGACCCTCAAGGGTCCATCTCAGTACCTTTAGTCAGGGAACATAACTGGACCATAATCCACTGAATGATATTCTCTAAGCTGTACTGACTCCACACACCCCGTCTCGTCTCCAGGACTTTTATTTTACAAATACATACTTTTCACCTGGAAAAACTTATTTAAGGTTCACAATCAGACCTTAAAACCACTGTTGCACGTTTGAGGGAACATTTACATTGTTTGTACCTTGATAAATGAAAAATGTACCTGCAAAGAACGTTTATTTCTAACAGTGAAGAGATGTTATAATGAATTACAAAGTTTTGGGTACATAAAACAGCACAAATGTTATAAATGAATCTCTGGGGGGCAAAAAATAATTAAATACATGAAAAAATGTGGAATATGGACCTTTAAAGTCAGGTGTGCTTGTGATGGAATCAAAATCAGTGCGATAGCTGGGGACATCCAGAGTAAACCTGAAGTTCTTGTTCATTTTTACTACATTAAAGTTGATTTACATTCATTCTAATGTTAAAAGATGATTTTACAAGCTAAAGAATAGTGCAGTGCCTGTTCAGTGCTTATTTACACCCGTGTGTTCTGCTTCATAGGGTAATGGAGAATGAAGAAGGCAGGAAGGAATACTTGGTATTTCCAGCCAGCAAGAACCAGTGTCCCAATCAGAAGGGGCGCAAGATCCCGCTGAAAGGGAACGGCCGCAGGATCGACTACATCCTCTACAAAGAGGAGGGCCTGCAGCCCGACTGGAAAGTGGTCAGTTCTGATTTACACCTGGCTCTCCACATTGTGGTTGTGGTCAGTTATGTTCTGTTTGATCCTGTTCAGTTTTATTTGAGCTAAATCAAATCATCTTGAAATACACAATAAATGGACATTTTTCAGATCATTAATTTTATTTCAATTCCTGAACTGACTGGGCATTGATGGGCTTGACCGAAACTTTGTCTGCCTTTTAGCCGTCAGCTGAGAAACAGCAAGAAAGAGGTGAAAATGTTCGCTGTAACTTGTTTCCCTGCTGTACGCAGAGAAAGACGGGACAAACATGTTTAATGAGAATAAGTGCCGGTTCAGTTTTTGCTGTTGAAAGTAGTGTAGCTCTAGGCTGCCACCTTATGGCACAAATTGGGGATTGCATGATGGGAAATGAATGTAATTAGCATCAAATGTCACTGCACTCCTGTTTGTTTAAGGAGCATTCCATAGAAAATATTGCATTCGTGTATTATCTGTTATATTTGTTATATTCATACAGTGCAGGGGTCTTTAATTAAAATTCAATAAGGTCCAGTTAAAGAACATTTCCTCAAGCAAACTTGCATTATGACTCAGTGCCATATACTGTTTACTGAAGTAGCCCAGTAGGTATATCAACATCTTATACAGTCAACAACTGAATGTCAAATCAAATAAAGTACAGTTCAGTCATATTTTAAAAACATTTTCTCTTTTTAGAGCAGGAAATGTGAAATAACTTCCCTCTGACTCACTTTCTTCTCCGACTGCTGTGTCTCGCCTCGTCCCTCCCCTGTGTGTTCGCCACTCACTTGAGTCTCAGAGCTCATTGTAAGGCACAGATCTGATTGGCTGAGTAGCGTCACGTGTGATTTTTACAATGCATGCGATTGGTCTGTGAGTCTCCCGGGCCACTAAAGCTACCATAAAGGCTAGGAAAGTTACGCCAATTAAAATAGAACCAGCTCCACCAAAATTAAATAATTCTCCATAGTTTATCGGTTACAGGTCCAGGTCCACATATGAGAACGTCTGGGTCCGGACTCAGAGCGTGGTCTGCCTATTAGTGACCTCTGATATAGTGCTTTAATGTGTCTGATATAAGTGGAACAAAAGGGGCATTTTGGCGTTTGAAACACATGCTTATCATCAGTGTGCAAAATATCCCTTGGTATTTGGGGGGTCCTGTGTTGGCTGGCTGCTCCAATATTGGCTGGCTGCTAACTCACTCGCCATAGCAGTGCTGATGCTAACTTCAGTGGCAGCAAAATGTTTGCTTTAATAATGGAAATGCTCTTTTGTGGTTGGTAATGCGCTCTTCCTCATATTAATTGGGATCTTACTCATCTCCTCTTCTGTCTTCAGTTTGAGAAACGTGTAATAATTCACTCTTTCCTCCAGCCTTTGGTAAAATTAGGCACATTTTCAGATTTACAAATATGCTGCGGCATACTGTAACGTTTTTCAGAGGTATCCTGGGCATAGTTACAGTTGCTAGGCTATGAAGGACCAACTGGATAAACCAGTCTGGTACAGCGCCACCCTGAGGCAGACCAGTGCTGCATCGTTAGTTAGTTAATATCAAAGACAGATGCCGATGCCGATTGTGGGTGAAGCAGCTAAACAATGAGCTTTCCCTAAATTTGTATTTGGGTGCCTACTTTTCCTTAGAAGGCATAACATAATGAAATGTTTATTTTCAGAAACCCCCTAGAATTTGGATTTTGAGACATTCAGGGGTCCAAGAGGTTAATTAGGAGGTCCCAGGCCACCCAGGACCCCTGTATTTCACACCAGGCCTAAGACATCTGATCAAAAATCTGTTTCTTAATTTTAATTATATCACATTGTACAATTACGATGCTATAAAAATAACATTTAAAATTATTCGATTTGCATAAATAATGGAACTCAAATTATATAAGCCCTTGATAAGCCACTTAATGTGTGGTGTTTATAGAAGCTTTGAGGCTGAAGCTTCAGCACTGTCCAGAAAAATGTTAAGATGCCAAGTTGACATGTAGTAGCCTTAACTTGCCATTAGAGGAGCCCAGTGTAGAAGTTACATTTTGAATCATAAACCTTTATCAGCTGTTAACATCGGCTTATAAACATTGGAAACACACACAAAACACTATGAAAACTCCTGGCAAATACTCATAGCAGAACACTACATTCTAAAATGCAATGTGATAATAATGATGAAGTAATGATAAAACTAATATGGACTATTAAAGGCAATATGAGTGTGTATAGTGTTCTTCTGCATGTATTTTTATGAGCCTGTTGCTCAAATTTAATACATACATCAACACAAAGTAAAAAGGTTAGATGAAGTGATTATAGTTACTGTAAATGACTGTAAATGATTACAGATTATAGACTATTAAAATGATCAATTAATGGTAAAAATAAAGCCTTTTGTTAGCAAGTTAATATGGCATGTAAAACTGTAATAACATTGTATGCATATGTGTTTTAACCTGTTTGTGCCCAAATTGTCTTTGTGATTTTATGTGGATTAATACACTACAATTGATCTAGTTTAACATTTACAGCATTTGGCAGGCGCTTTTATCCAGAGCGACTTACAATATAATCATTTTACACAGGCAGGCGAAGGCAGTGTTAGGAGTCTTGCCCAAGGACTCTTATTGGTATAGTGTAGGGTGTCGATCCAGGTGGGGGATTGAACCCCAGTCTACAGCGTAGAAGGCAGAGATGTTACCCACTACACTATACCAACCACATTTAATATAAAAATTATTATATAAAAATTCTGTTTTCATGTTCTATATATTCTAAATATTTTGACAATATGATGATTTTGCATTGATATGGCAATGGCCACATTTAACAATTGGCACTTTGAGTGTCTGAGTCTATATAAGAGCAACTTCAGCTGGTTCAAATGGGTTAATAACATCTGTCTTGCCTCCTTACAGGACATTGAGGAATTCAGTTTCATCACCCAGCTGGCCGGCTTGACCGACCACCTCTCTGTGGCTGCGAGGTTGGCCGTTTCTACAGGAGAAGAGGAGTCTTAGGACCCGGCTGATCTTTTACACAACGCCACGGACAGAGGGAAAAAGAGGGAGAGAGAGAGAGAGAGAGAGAGAGGCAGGGAGAGAGAGAGAGAGAGAGATGGAAAAAGAGAAGGAGAGAAAGACGTAGGGACTTCCAGCTTGTCAAGACGAGGAAGTATTTTTTAAACTATTTGCCTGGTGAACTGAAATGATCTTTTGAAGCCTAGAGAGCAAGAGAGCTACAACTGCGTGACGTTTACTGAAGCATGTTTCATAAGACGCAGCAGGGGGGGCACACGCCAACACACCCCCACACAAGCGCAGACCCACTCCCACACACGCAGCTCCTCCTGCGAAACGTGCCCTTTTTTCGAAGTCAGAGACAAAAACCACGACCTCTCACTCTCTCGCTTCCTCTTTCGCGGGGCTCTCCACATCCCTAGAACGAGAGTTTACGTCCTTGCTGTTATCTATCACTCGCCTCTGCTCTTCTGACGCTTCTCTGCGGCCCTGCGGAGGGAGGCGGAGCCATCTTTCTGGTGCCATGACCTGGGAAAAAAAAACAAAAAAGTCTTTCAGGGAAAAAGAAGACTGCATGAGAGAAAGCCTGGATTCACAGTATTGCACGAGCTGCCACTTTATAATAAACACACAAACACACGATGCTGACGTGAGTCCACTTGTAGAAGAAAGGACTTTTCCCACCCTTTAACCCTTTTAGCCCTCCTCAAGAACCTCAGCGAGAAGTGTCTTTCTTTTCTAACCTCTTTCTAGACCTTTCTATGGGCGAGCGTGCAGTCTTTGTAGGGCGTTTGTATATTGAACATTGACTTCTCATCCTGTTGGGCGCGGATAGTGTGGGCTGAGTTTAGCTGACTAGAGTTTATAATAGAGAAATCATAGTCAATCTTTTGACATGCAGTAGTGCTCCTGTGTGTGTGCACAGTAGGAAAACCAGTTTTACAGTAGGTGCAGTTCTCTGGAGCCCCCCGTTGTCTGAACTGTTTCTCGATTGACGTGCATGCCCCCCCCCCAACCAAACTGCACAGCAATGGAACTACAGGCCTGCATTTATCAGTCTGAAATCCTGAAAGGGACTCGGAATCACAGGTTCTCTCTCTGTCTCGCAACACATGCACGCAGACACACACGCGCAGTATTGCTATGGCTCGATCACGGGGGTGTTTGACGCTGTAAAGCAAAAAAAAAAAGGCTCTCCGCGTTTACTGTTCTCACTTCGAGCCGAGAAGGTGGCACCCGTGCAAATGTTTACACACCTGTTAATCTATTACAGGCAACACTATCAAGAACGATCGAGGACTGAACTTTATTTCAAACGGATTTCTGTGCTGTCTGTTCATCTGTCACCTAGTTGCTTTTATACTCTCTATAGACCTCTTTCTAAATTATTATTATTATTGTTATTGTTATTATTATCTTTTAAAACATGCAGTGTTTCCCGCATCAGCTAAGGTGCCGACAGTCAAAATGGATGGACGGTAATGGACGTCCTACTGACCTTCACCTTAACGTCCTAATCAGGAATTTGCGAAAACAGTGCCACAGCCACTTCAGGGCAAGCTCTGTTTATTAACTAAGAGCATGAAGACTATACATGTAATGGACATCATCAAGCTGCAGTGCTCGTGTTTCAAAGCTTTGACTGATTTCTTTCCCAGTGTGGCCATTGCAGCAGTTCCTAATTGGGACTTTGAATCCTTTGGAAATGTTCTGATTGGTTTGCTTCTCTAAAATGTTGATTTGTATTATCCCAGTGGTTCCCAGCCTGGTCCTCAGGGCCCCTTAGATAGTCCACATTTTTGCTTTCGTCCAACTCGCACCACATAGGGATGAAGGAAACAGTGGGCCGGCCTCCCTTCAAGGGGGACCCTGAAGACTGGGTTGACAACCACTGTATTATTTCATCCTTAATCACCTTTAAGTTTCAGTGTGTATCAGTTAAATGCCTAAACCAGTACAGGCCTATAAAAAACAGTACTTTACCATGTTGGCACCTGTAGCCCTTTTTCTATTTGCAGGTGAATTTATCAACCACTTTGCTGGAGGTGGATGTAAAAAGTGGCTCATTTACACTGAGAATAGGGTGGACCTGTGGGGAACCAGTTCAGCCAATAACACGAGCCGAGGCCCCCAGGTTCCCGCCCAGTGAGGCCAAATCTAAATAATGAATCTAATTAATAATTATATAGTCTAAAAAAATATTTTTACCTCAAATCTATATCATTTTGTAGATAATAGCTTTATTTGTATAGCACTTTTCATGCATTTCTTAGCTTTCACATTTGATGTGCTCTCTAAGCACCATCAGGAAAGCAGAACCTTTAGATGGCATTGAGTTGTAATGTAAAATAGGCCAGTGTAGAGCATGTGTTTGTTAAATGCTGTAGGATTTGGCACCGTCAGATGTCCTCTCCATAGAGGTCCAATCAAAAAGCAGCTGCCTTTTTCACTCTGAGGTGTCCTCGCTGACCTTGTTAGTAGGTTCAGGGTCCTAGATGATCTCTGGTTGTAATTTAGTGAATGTTTTCAGTGAAATCGAAGCCGGTGTAGACACTGCTGATGCGTCTGGTGCTGCACCACAGCTGCGGAAAACACTGCACCAAAAGACTACATTTCCCATAACGCATTGCTCTGCTTTTTGCTATTTTAGGACTTTGCTAAGATCTAGTGTAGAGCTCTTTTCTGTTTTGAGGTAACTGACAGATTGGCCCGTTAATATGGTAAGAGACTTCTTCAGCCTTGCTGTAACCAATCCCAGTTTTAATCTTAATCCTGCTCTTAATCCCACTTGCTTTATGACCACAGCCTAGAACCTTCTGCCAAATCTTTCAACTGTAGGTTGGATGCTGTGTGGTTTAGACTCTCAGATCCTCTACAGACGGGCTTGGCCATCATTAATACACTACAGGTGAAACTGGTTAGTATGCCACTAGTCCTAATCCTCACCAGCTGTTCTGAGGGTCAGTAGATTTTTAAAGCAGTGGTTCTTGGGGACCTCATGCAGTACATAAACTGACTCAGATCATGAGTTAATTAATGTACCTTTAGCTGCATCAGGTATGTTGAAACACTAAAGCTGCATTGCAGAAGCTAGGCTGCAGTCTAGGTGGGCTGCGTTTCCAGACCGCTACTTCTTCAAAGGCTATTCCCATCAAAAAGACCTTTTGATTCTTTCTGCCTTCATGTTCTTCTACCACCCATCACTGTGCACATGCGACTGACCTGAAAGTTCAAGAGAAATGCCAGAAGATGGAACCAACTACTATATGCGGTTCAAAAAGGCCAGTAAAATGTATAGTAAAATATATGGTAACACTTTACTTGAAGGGTCTACGTAACACATTCATAACATCTTACATACACACTTCATAACATGTTCATAAATGTTTAAATCAACATTTATAAAGTGTACATATTTATAAAGGACATGACATGAATATGGACTACTATGTCGTTTCACTTTGATACGTTTTTTTTTAATTCAAGTCATTTTAAATTATACAACTGTTAGTTCCGGCCACACGAGCTGATCGGTTGGTTGCTGTTGTTTTGCCATAACATCACGTTTTTTTCACAAACATTGTATCACTCTGCTGAGACGCTGTTGCTAAGCAACGACTTTGACAGCTGTAGGAGACGCTCAAGCCATTTGAACGTTTTTACTTCTTACTTTGCCACAAACAGAAAATGGACACTTTTAAGATCGCATTTGACCGACAGCCGATTTGGTCAGACTCTGAAGATGAGACCACACTAAATTCCCAAACTGTCATCACCACTGAGCAGCGTTTCAGTCGGCAGCTGTGACAGAAGAACAGCTTAACAACCTGGAATCAACCAGAAATGAACGCAACACCATTCGGCAAACTAAATGGGCTGTAAGATGCTTTACAGACTGGCTGGAACAAAACAACATTAATACTGATCTGGCAAAAACTGACAAAACTGAGCTAAACCTGATATTGTGTCAGTTTTATGGCTCAGTCCGTAGTTCAGAAGGTGAGGCTTACAGCAGACTGAGCAGCGAGTGGGCGGAGCTCGTTACTCTGACGTAGCAACAAGCTGCTCGTTAAGGAACTATAATTTGGTGAAGGAACTGCGAACATTAAAACATATTAAACGCCGCGTTCACGGCCCAGTTTATTAATTTATTACTTTATATATTTAACTGTTGTATTAAAGCAAAAGAGAACTCGAGGAGTGTGTTATCGCCAATAACATCATGGCTGTGATGATCTACGGTGACCAAATCACAGCCGTGATGTTATTTCGTGATAACACACTCCCTCTCGTTTTCTATTGCTTAAATAAAAGTCAAAAATTATTTTCGGTAAAATGCCTTATTGCTGGACAGGCAAAACAAAAATGACCTTGATTTATCCCTTTGACACTGAGGCACATTCCACGAAAACTTTCAAATTATTTTTTAATTATTTGCTTTGTCGTCAGTATTTGCTTTACATGTCAGTTTACTATATGGACAGTAAATTCGACTGAATCTTAGTGTGGTGGTGGGACCCCAGGGCAATAATACTCATCCATTCTTTGTAGGTGCTGGACAGCCACATGAATGTAATTAGACTATGTTGCATGGCCATTTAAAGATCCACAGAACATGCATTCCAGTGTTTTTAGCTTTCATCACTTTCAAGATAAAGAAAAAACAGAATTTATCAATCTTTGGGATAACAGTGCAACATGTAGCCTCAAAGAATGTCAATTAAATGGGATAAACAATACATAATTATACTTTTACCTTTTTATTTATACCTTTTCTAATACCATAAGCAAAGAAGAACCTCACTAACACTGCTAGCATTTAACCCCAAGAGGGTTAAACTTAGGATAAATATCATTTTCCTCAAAAATGTGTAGACTGTTAAATTAACCCTTTGGCACAATTAAATAAAAATAAAGTAAAAATGAGAAAGAATAATAAAGTGCAAAATGCAAATGCTTAAAAAGAAGTGAAAGTATAGGCAAAAAAGGGGTACAAGGTCATTTTTGTTTTGATCTGTCCAGAAATGAGGCGTTTCACTGAAAATATTACTTTTTCTAAATAAAAAATGGGAACTTTTATTTTGAAAAATGCGTCTCAGTCAAATGACATAGTAGTCTGTAGTAATATCATGTAATACATGTATGCTTTATGAATGTTTATTGAAACATTCATAAACGTGTTATGAAGTGTTTATGTAAGGTGTTATGAATGTGTTATGTAGACACCCTTCAAGTAAAGTCCATCTGTTTAAGAGCTGAGGATGCAGAGTGTGAAATGCTGCTCCTGCTCTTAGTGAGTTTTTAGAATGGCATTTAATTGCAAACAAAATTATGATTTTTCCTGCCACATTACGTTGTTCACGTCAATGTTCTGCTTGCCAGCTTAGTATCATTCACAGCAACAGTTTCTCCGTCAAAAATGTAGTGTAATAGAGGCGTCTTCATAGGATGGAGCTTCTGAGGACCAACTTTTGGACCGAGCTTCTGGAACACAGATAAAGAGCTGAGATTGGGAACCACTGGACAAAACAATATCATTGATGGCCGGTTCTCCTTCAAGACATCAATCAGGAAACAACAAGATTTTTGGTCACATTTTATTTTGAGTGGTTCTTTTAGATGAAACAAGAAGGTTAAGATTAGGTTTTGGGTTAAGGTTTAGGTTAGGGTTAGGATCAGGGCCAGGGTGAGGATTAGGATTAGGTTTTGGGTTAAGGTTTAGGTTAGGGTTAAGATCAGGGCCAGGATGAGGATTAGGATTAGGTTTTGGGTTAAGGTTTAGGTTAGGGTTAGGATTAGGGCCAGGGTTAGGATTAGGTTTTGGGTTTAGGTTAGGGTTAGGATTAGGGCCAGGATGAGGATTAGGATTAGGTTTTGGGTTAAGGTTTAGGTTAGGGTTAGGGTTAGGGCTAGGGTTAGGAGTAGGTTTTGGGTTTAGGTTAGGGTTAGGATTAGGGCCAGGATGAGGATTAGGATTAGGTTTTGGGTTAAGGTTAAGGTTAGGGTTAGGATTAGGGCCAGGATGAGGATTAGGATTAGGTTTTTGGGTTGAGGTTAAAGTTAGGATTAGGATTAGGTTTTGGGTTGAGGTTAAAATTAGTGTTAGGATTAGGGCCAGGGTGAGGGTTAAGATTAGGTTTTGGCTACGTTTGGTAAGGTTTTGCATAATGGAAGCAACAATTAACAACCT